CCAGGCCGCGCTCAGGGCGAAGCCGGGGCGGGGGGCCGTGAGGAGCGGTGGCCGGGCAGCTGGCCGCGTGCTTACGTGATCAGGTCCTTCTTGCCCTCCTTGCACTGCGGGTACTTGGGCTTGGGGCTCGGGATGGTCACCTCCCCGGGGTACCGTCTTTCTTCCAGAGCTTCCTGGAAAGGGTCCAGGTCTTCTGGCTGCAGGCAAAACGCGGCTTCAGGGCCCCCCGGCCACCCAGCATGCAGCCGCAGACCCAGCCCGGACCGGGGCCCGGGGAGGCGCCGCTGGCCTCCCGCCGCTCCCCACGGCCCTCCATCTGCGCGTGGCCCAGCCTGCCCCGGCGAGAGCCCTTTCTCCTCGCCAGTGGCGCTAGGGCCCTCGGCTGTCGGCCAGAGCCTGGCGCTACCCTCACGGGGGTGCTGCCGGCCGGCCGCCGGGGCCCCCAGGCCCCCCCACCGCCTGCTCCAGGCCGGAGCCACACTCCCCTGCCTGCAGCCGCAGCGAGTGCGGCTTTCAGCTCCCAGGCGGGAGCCCACAGCGCCTCCCGGCGGTCCTCGGACAGCATCTGCCGGCAGGCGCCCACCACGCTCTCAGACACGCCGCGGGGGGCAGAGCCTGGCAGGCCTGCTTCCCCGCGGCTTTCACCCGACAGGCAGGCCACGGGGCGAGGCTTCTGCCGACGGGTGAGGGCTTAACTTTAATGAAAATGGATTCAGAGATGCACTGCCATGCCTAATTTGGTAGTAACGACTGAAAGCTAGCAGAGGAAAAACCCTCTGCTGGCGGGGAGAGCGAGCCCTCGGGCTCTCCCCCAGCACGGCGCCGGGTGCCTGGACCCGCCGAAGAAGAGCGGCGATCAGTCGGCGCCTGCCCGGCTGACCGCGAACAGCCGCCACCTGCCCGCTCCGGTAAGACGCGGCGGCGTTGCGGCAAGCTCCCTGCTGCGGGCAAGGAGCATTTCCATTTTCTGATAAGGACAGAAGATGTAGTTTTCAGAATTCAGGGCCGCAATGAGAACAAGTTTCTTGGCTCCTTTCTAGCCTGCCGGCCATCGGAACTAGCCGAGTGACCTGAGCCCGCGCGCTGTGACGTCCGGGGCAGGACGGCAGCGACGGCCCGGGCGGAGTCCCAGGCCGGGCGGGCTC